CCCTGGTTCCTCGTCACTGGGTGGGGGGGGCTCAGGGCCACGCCCGGGGTGAGGGGGCTCAGCTTGCAGAGAGGGGCATGCTGGGCCCACAGACACCCGCTGCACGCTAACGGGGCCCACGCACCGACACACCACCAGGGTCAGCCTGGGGTCACACACATTCACTGCCACACCACAGCCGCATTTGGCTGACACGCTACCAACATACTCAGCCAACGCCACTGCCATGCAGAGCCAACACGCCAAGAAGGTCACCAGACTGCACATGCATGGCCAATGCGCCACCGACATGCTCGCCGTCACGCTTGGTCAACATGCTAACCCTCACATACTCAATTACCACCACGCTACCTGCATCACGCTCAGCCGACATGCTTCCTGCATGGCTGACACGCTTACACATGTGCAAATGTGCTCAGCCAACATCTGTAGCTAACAACCTAACACGCTTATGACATGTAGACCTGGTCTCAAGCCCGGTCCCCACCTTGGCCGACACGCTCGGGCCATGTCTGTCCAGTTTCTGCACCTAAACGCATGTCGCACCTGGCATGTGCCAACACAGACACATTCCATAAACGTGTGATGGCACCAATGTGCCACAGCGTACCCGCATGTGACCCCAGCACTGGGCAATACACACACACCGTGACCACACCAACAAGTGTTGCACGGGCACACTGCAGCCACCCCCATGCACACTCACACCCTACCATGTACATTTGCATGAGGCATGTACAGAAGCATCCACACACGTGTGTTCTTACACTCACACGCATGCAACACACCACAAGGGCAGGTGCTAAGGTGCACAGGCGGGCACTGGGGTGCTTATGCGCATGTGTGCATTCACACACAGCATCACATGGACATGGCAGCACTGTGCTGTGCAGGTGCGTGTCGGGCTGGCCCCTGTGCACACCCGTACTCCCTCACACGCATGTGTGCCCCACCCCACGCCAGCTCAGCCCGGCCCGGCTGGGGATTACGAGCTTGCGGCGCAGACGCATTCCAGAGATAATCCCACGCGGGGGAGGGGAGGGACTGCCTTCGTGTGGCTCCGTGACTCATCCCCACCCCTGCACACACCAGGCCTGCAGCCTGACTCACCTCCCCCCCCCCCCCCCCCCCCCC